GAGCTTTAATAAAGGAAAATAAAGTGTCTCTTCATGCATTCATCTGATCCTTCTAACAGGGACGAATGATGAACCAGAGGAGAGCGTTTATGAAAATGTGAGGATGGAAACAGCTGCAGGTACTTCAAGTACAACACACCATGTAGTACAATCTGAGTGTACTTGTGTATTACTACCAGCAGTCAGCAAAGATCAAACACAACACTTACACTTGTTACTCTTAAATAACCTTTAATCTCTTTTATCAGATGGATAAAAACATCTGCATGGACAGAACCAGGGGAACGGATGACGACATGAAAAACCACATCTTTGTCTTTCTGAGTAATTATTGTGTCAACTTCTTCTTTCCTGATATGAGACAGTGTTTAGTAGTAGTAGTAGTAGTAGTAGTAGTAGTTAACCCACGAAACGATCATTTAACGGAAATACATCATATGTCTTTAAAATAGTAGATTAATACTTTTACTTATTCAAATGTTGGTTTTCAGTGTTTACTGTACATTTCATTTTTGCCTCCTCAGTCACTTTGTTTTTTAAACCTTTTTTGAATGGAGGCTTGTTTGAAAAGCAGCAAAAAGCAGTTTGCGTCTTTGACCTTAAGAATGTTAGTGATATTATTCAATATGAAGTAATCGTTTCTTTCATTTCTGATAAAAAAATGCGTTTCGCATTTATTAATCTGTTATTGGACATCATATTTCTCCAACATTTAAGTTTATCTATGTCTTTTTAAGAGTTTTAACAGGTGATGTTTGTATTTCATCTTTAGCTGATTGTGTTTGATACATTTTGTAATGTTAAATCTTTCTATGTATCAATAAACTTGCAGCTCTCAGCAGTGATTCTTACAGTCATTTCTTTAATTAAATAAATATTAGAGATTACAGGGAACGTACACTCTAAAATATTTCACCGTAAATTAAAGTTATTTTCCTGGCAGCAAGGACACCAGGAATTTACAGTTTTTACGTTATAATACCGTAAATGGTTTTTTGAAACTTGAAACTTTAACCAATTTGACTGTGAATTAACTGCAATTTAGTGGCAGTCGACGCTAGTAACTTACTGTTTTATTTACAGTGCCCTATAGTAATTTACGGTATGTTGTCGTATATTGGATTACAGTTTGTTACGATACGATTACTGTTTTTGTGTTATGAATACCAGAATGTTACCGTTTACTTATAACCGTATACTTTTGCATTCAATTCCCCACAAATTAAAGAAATTCGGTCATAGTGGTTGGAGTTTATTAGATGCCTTTAAGACATTACATTACATTACATTACAGGTCATTTAGCAGACGCTTTTATCCAAAGCGACTTCAGCGACATTACTTTAAACCAATAGCTTTTTTTCACATTTTTGCCCGGGGAGCAATTAGGGGTTAGGTGTCTTGCTCAGGGACACTTCGACATGGAACATGTGGCAGCCTGGACTCGAACCACCAACCTTGTGCTTCCCAGCACACCTTCTCTAACCCACATAAAATATGCTGCATGTATACAATAATAGAAAAATGAATCATAAAATCATTAGGAACAAGGTAAACTGCAACAATACGCTATGGAACACGCTATGGTCAATTGACCGCAGCAAACGGCTGGCGTCCTTAATCCAGAGCCTCTGTAAAACAAACCAAAATAAAAGATTTAGAAACACTGTCATTGGTAAAATATTAAAATTACAAAGTTGATGAAGACAACAAGATGTAAGGAAAGAGAATGAAAGAGAATGTTAATCAAGCTAGGCAAATAACACTTACCAACGTTACTTGGAGAGACGAGGCAATGAGAAACTCCTCCGATGTTGAACTGCACAGGTGTTCTGGATGAACTGAGATTACGCGTCTGCGTTCAGGAGCAGTCGGTCACGATTAACACTCAAATGACTTTTAGGTAATGAACACTTTGAATAATACAAATATTTATAATCTTTACATTCCAACCACTGAAACAACAGGGAAGGCGGCGCTTGGGATAGGGAGGGTGCGCTATGCAGCGCAAGGTTGGCGGTTCGAATCCTGGCTGCTCTCTGTGCCAAATTGAAGTGTCACTGAGCAAGACACCTAACCCCAGATTACTCCACATAAAATGATGTCAAACCATGGGCGTTTTGGATAAAAGTGACAGCTGCTTGTATAGTGACGTTCTGTAAGTCAAAGTCATCATCGTATCTCATGAGATACTATCTCATTAAGATGACTTACAGGACCTGTTTTTCAGTGGCTGACATGGGCTTCCATACATTAACCTACAAAAGATGTAGATGGATTGTGATTTACTGCACTTGTATGTGTATTTCCACCACTTCATAAAATATATGTAACATGCAGTTGAATTACGGTAGTCTGCTATTATTGTAAATTGACAGTTTTAACTGTTTATTCATGACATTGGCCGTTAATTTACAAGCAAGGGATGGAAATGTAACTGTATATTACAGTTATTATGACATACTGTAAGATACCGTTAGAAATGCACCGTAAATTTACAGCAATTATGTTCACATGCTCCTCCTGCATCACATTAGTAAGATTCATCTAAAGAAATTAAAATGTCTCTGTGAAATAGTTAAAGTAGTCACTGCAGTTAAGTGTCTTAAAGCTGAATTCTTTAACTTTCCACATTTTGTCTTTGAGAAAAAGTTGCATGTGAAGTATTTGACCTGCTGATGTTTTTATCTAATTAAACAGGAATAGATCACAGCAATGTAAATACGATATCACTTCCTTCTTAAAGGAAATGGTGATCCAGGTGTTTGAGTAATATTGTGGTATATTAATGCTGCTCATGCTTCAACAGGAAACAGTAAGTAACAATAAAAGTACTGCCTCGCCTCGAGTACCTTATTGCTTAAGTACAATATGGCCTTGTCTTGTCAGTTTTTGCCTGTTATTCATTCAATTAGATACATTGAGTTAGTTAACGAAAAATAAATATATAAGTTGTAAATATCATGCTTTGTGTTTTACTTATTTATTCATTTTTAATAAGTTGGGCAATCGGTGCACTTTTGTTTTGGTTTGAGCACCAGCATCCCGACGTGTCTGTGCACATGCCTGGCTCTGCGTGAGCGTCAGGCACAGAGAGAGGGGGACCCTTTCTCAACACGCGTTCTTGTGTGGACTTTTGTTCTCGTGGACTCGTGAAACGTCATCAGTCGCAGCCCGAGTACTGCGACCATTCTAAAGTCCGCATCTGGCCGAGAACGGTGATAATACCCGGATGGGACTCGCCCCGCCCATTTTACCGGGCATGCGTCGCAGCAGGCTCGTCTGTTCTTGTGAGAGCCAAATATCCCAGAATGCATTTCACCTCAGCAACGACAGAGGAATATAAACACTACTGCAGATCGAAGTTTATAAATACTACTATATTTAAGTCACGGAATGTAATTTTAGGACTTTTTCAGACGAGAAGTTAGTTGTTTAAGCAACATTTCTGCGCTCGGTTTGTCAACATTCAGCATTCGTGACCATTTGCTCTGTGGATGTCGGAGATTTAAGGTCCAGTTAACGGGACCGTCAAACTCCTCCAGCACCGGGCGGTCAGCTCATCTCAACCCGCAGAGAGCAGCCTGTTTTCTGCAAGTCTTCTGTGAAATGCTCCGCTGGTTTACACGTCTCCGTAGCGGTTATAAAAGGTGTTCATACCTTTTAATGTGGTGTCAGAGACTGATGTTGTTCACCGGTAACGTTACGTCTGTTTGAGGACAGAGTTTAGATTCATAACTTCATGTTTAAATTTAACTTCATCTTGTCTGTATCCAGAGAGTGCAGCTTGTTATTGTCCATCATTGTGCATTAACATGTTTTAATCAAAGGACATGAGGACCGTCATCGAGACTCTAAACCGGCAGCATGACGTCAGCTTCAAAGAATCTGTGAATTGTAATAATAATAAATACACATTTTCCACATTTGAATTAGTATATTTCTCTATAACATATTTAATATCTAGTCAGTTGCTTGCATATGCTTGTAAATGTTTCTATTTATTTAATTAATTAATTAACTGCAGCACCATTGATGCCTAGATCATATTACATGACATGTCATTAGTCAAGCTGATTTACAACTGGCTATAGATAAGAGCCATTATAAGTACAATGGCTCTACAAGTGCTACAATTTGTTAGTCTTTTTATCATGGATATTAATTATGTTAATCACTATGTCACCTATCTGTAGCCTCCATGATCTCTGTTTATTGTTTAAGTACTAATGAGGTCACCTATCTTACAGAATGTAGCCTCATTGATCACTGAATCATAGATATTAAATACTATGTGGTTAATCACTATTAATGTAGACACACAGAAGTGGTTCAGGTACATCACCAATTTAATTTATAGTAGGTAGGTGTGTGTGTGTGTGTGTGTGTGTGAAATGTAACCCTATCCAATAAAATATTAACTGTAATTGTTACTGTTTCCAACCTCCTCTTACGTTATGGAACCTTTATAACGCTAATGCAGTGTGATGTTCCTGATTCCTGATGTAATACAAAAGCGACTGTGTAACAACTCTGATCTGATCCATTGAGATATTTTGCCAAATTATTTTATGATTGATATACATTTACTATGGTGCTCCATTTTATTATACACACACACACACACACACACACACACACAACGTGTATAGTTTTAAATGATAAGGAAACAAAAGCTTGATAATAGTAAAATACTTAACAATCAAGAGCTGTATTAAAAGGTATTAGCAAGACAGCTGACGTGGTGACGTCATGAAGTCAGCTGCTGTCACAATTGCGGAAATGGCCGTTCCCGCGAGTCTATTCTCGCGGGAATCCCCCTTATACGTAGTGGCGTAATCAGTGACACGTGACTCCATGCAATATAAGGCGAAACAGCGCCCCCTCCTGGCCAAATACTGTCCATACACCCACTCACAACAGCGGACCACTGTGCATCTTCTCCAAGCAACGCGGATCCTGCCCGGCCCGGAGCTCCTGAAGACGTCTCTGTCCCCCCCCCCCCCCCGCTGGGTATGAGGTGTGGAGTGAGCGGGTGCGAGTGTCCGTAGTGGAGTCGCCTCAGCCGGGCGCAGCGGCTCCCCGGAGGCCGCTGCTCGGCCCCCTCGCCGGAGGATGGTGGGTCTCGATAAATAACTAACATGCGTAGACAAAAATGTTTCGGTACTGTGTATAAATGTGTAGCGACGTTACAGGTTGCTCTGTGAGTGTCCCCGTCCGGCCGAATTGTCCGAAGTAGCGTGCACTTCGCGCTTCCACTCGCTGTTTTTTTTGTTCCGGCTTATATGTTATTCGGAGGACCAATCAAAGCGCCCGCCAAGGCCGCGTCATCGGAGAGCGCACCCAATCGGCGCATGCGTCTCAGGGGCGATCGCAGCTGGGCAAAGATGGCGGCGGGCTCCGATTTGCTGGATGATGTTTTCTTCAACACAGAGGTGGACGAAAAAGTAGTTAATGATCTTGTCGGATCTCTGGAGTCCGAGCTAACGGGAGAGAGGCGAGTAAACGCAGCGACCGACGTCCAGGTGACGTCAAATCACGCCGGAAACCCCGCTGTAGGTCGCAACTCTAATGTTCAGGGCAGCAAAATGGGACTTTCACAACAAGAGCTTGCCAAAGCAGGTAAGATGTAGCTGCTCAGTCTGGTTCGCTAACACGCGCTAATTGCGGTCACGTTGATCAACAGGTTCGTTTTAGATTTATTTTTTTAGCTAACGTTTATTCACTTGTGTTGGTCACCCGAAACTAATGGGAAACGTCGAGTTGGTTCGACAACCCTCCTCACCCGTTGTTGTCGTGCGTTTCCGCCGCCGTAGGGACCGGAGGGCGGGGAGGTGTCATAAGCAGCACGGGGTCCGGCGGTTCGAGCGTGGACGGAGCGGCCGGGACCACGTCGAGCGTGACAGCCGCTCAGAGTCCGTCTAAGCCGGGGACTTTGAATGGAAGTGCTGTTGTGGTGACCTGTCACATCACCGGCAACAACAACCACCACCACTCCTCCACCTCCTCCTCCCCCCAGCCCGCCGCCCCCCTCATCAACAACGGACCTGTATCTGTGAGCAAAGCAAGCACAGCGGCGTCCGCCGCAACACCGACTGCTATCATCAAAACTTCCCCGGTGAGCGCGCCGAACGCCGCCGGGTGCGCGCCCACCGTCACTCTGGCGAGGCCGCCTATGCAAACTCCCGCCAACGCCTCGCGCGGCGGCGGCGGCGACGACGCGGCGCTGACGTCACCGGCGGTCGGCGTCAACAAGTTGGACCCGGCGAAGGGCGCGATGCAGATCGCCGCGAGGAGCCCGTCCGTGCTGCAGAACCCGAGGCCGTCGCTGGCTCCCCCCGGCGGAACACGAGCCATCGCTCCGCAGGTGTTGGCTCCTCGACTCACGCAGCCGCAACAGGCCACGCCGAACATCCAGAACATCCAGCTGCCTCCAGGTAAGTGGATGTCAGATCATCTCTCTCTCAGTGTGGGAACCTTTACGCCATCTAGCTGCATCGCTTTCTCTCATAGGCCACTTTGTTGTTGTTGTTTGTTGACCTTTCTCAGCTGTTGTTAAGTGAATAAATGGTTTGACACACTAGGGAACTCTAATTCTGGAACGCCAAGGGCAGTCAGCGTGTTTAGCCTGTATGTCAAACTAGTCTTTATTATGTGTCTTGTTGTTGTTATTCTCATACCAACAGCAGCTTTCAAAGGCGAATTGTTAGACCTGTGACATAAACAAGGTTTTGCACTGGTAGGTTTAGATTTTTACCCTCAGCTGTGAAGGATTACGGTTTTCTTTGAACTGAAGTGTGAACGGTTAACACGAGCCTGCAGTGCGTAGTAATATACAAGCCCACAATAAAGCATCGGCTGTCAAGAAAAGAGAAGAAGTTGTACTTTGTTGTCTTGGCAGTCATCAACACACACACAAACCTGACTCGCACACACAAACAGGATATTGGCGAGACTGACCAGGACAGAAGAGCCCTGATCTTTTGATGTCCTCTGCCTGTTGCAGGCATGGTCCTGGTACGCAGTGAGAGCGGGCAGCTGCTGGTGATTCACCAGCAGACCTTGGCTCAGATGCAGGCACAGTCGCAGTCGCAGAGCGCCATGACACCCCGAGCGGCAGCCCCCACCAGCACTCCACCGGTCCAGATCGCGTCCCTTCAGGTACCAGGACCGGGTGACACGTCATACACTCTGATTTACTGGCTCAGGGTCCACGCGAATAATAACCTTGTTTGACAGACCGATGTGACGGCACCTTCAATATTGTTTCCTTGTTACTTACTGAAACAGAGTAATTCTGCTGAACACTTTACGGCACGTAATGAAAAATGATAAGAGTCATAAGTGAAGTTAGGCCTACTGTTATATATTTTATGATATCTGCTTTGTTGCGGTCTGATAGGAAATGAAAACTCACTTCTTATTTCTTCTACAAAGTGGATCTGATCCATTTTTATCACTGGATTGAATTACATCTCGGCTGCTCGTTTCATATGACAATTAAATAAACCCTCGGAGTAAATTGCAGTAATATTAAGCGTGCTCATTGGATAAAACAATTAGCAGCCTTAATTATTCCTTTACTGTCACGTGTGCTCCTCTGAAATCCACTGCTGCTCTGAAGGCTCCGGGGGCGTCGCCGCTGGCTCGTCCCGTTGCCCCCACCGCCATCATCAAACAGGGGTCCGCTGTCCAGGCCACTGTGACGCCCACCACCACATTGCAGAGGCCCCCTATACTGCAGGTAACCCCAACACACACACACACACACACACACACACACACACACACACACACACACACACACACACACACACACACAGGTTTTACTCTTAGAGCGATCCACTTAAAATACGCTTCAGTGGGTCTGAGACTTGTTCCCCACCTGCTGCTGCAGCGGGTAAATAGATCAACATTTCCTCTGCAGGACACGCACATTTTCACTTGCTACTTCTGCACCAGAGGCCGACGACATCATTGGCATCTACGTTGCCCACGTGGCTCGTGACATAAATCGCGTCTTCTTGACCTCATCTAAACCAAACCATTCGAGCTATTCCCCCTCTTTTTCTGAGGGTCTATTTTTGCTAAAGTACCATTTTATTTTCCTTTCTTTTTAATGTTGCTTGCATCCACTAACCTCACACAGACATGACACATTGAGCTTCGCTCACGGTGGTCTGACGTTGCTTAAAAGGCATTTGCTTCGGTTAGAATTTGTCACAATATGCACTGAAATTATTGAATCGGTCACAGGTTTGAGTCCAGTTAATGTGTTTAAACAGGGTTCACACGCAACCTGGAAAAGGTTACGGTTGTCCCGGAAACTTATTTCATCATGTCCTATTTTTCATATCATTTGAGAATGCCGTCTGATCTGAAAGAGTAAAGTGCAGGTCGTCACATTAGCGAGCAAACGGTAGTTTATGGACGTCACATAAACGTCACATGTCAGCACTTCATGCTTGGATGATTCAGTAGCCGCGACTGAATAATGTCAATTACATCATCCGTCACTGATCAGTTTGTCAGAAGAGAAAACTAAGAAATCCCAAAGAAAATATGACTGTTACAAAATAAGCCCACCCCGCTCTTCACTACGTTGGAAGTCTCATCCCGTGATCGCCTATTCACTCACACAGAACACCATCGTGCTGGGAGGCGCGGCCCCCGCCCCCGGGCAGCCGCTGGGAACGCCCACCCCGGTGCAGGCCGGTCCTGCAGCCACGCAGAGGGCCACCGGGACGCCTGTCACTCCAACAGCTGTCACAGCTGTAAGAGAGAAGTACTAACCTCGGATGCTTTTGTCTTTTGTGAACTTTCAAAACTAAAACGTGCAGACGCTCATTCGTTTTACGGGTATTTCCTTTATTCATATGTTGCTGCTGTATGCCGGACTTGTACATTTAAGGAAGAGCGCCGTTTGTGTGCATGTGCTTGCAGGAGACGCTGGAGAATGTGAAGAAATGCCGGAACTTTCTGTCCACGTTGATCAAGCTGGCGTCCAGTGGAAAGCAGTCCTCAGAGACCATCGCCAACGTCAAGGAGCTGGTCAAGAATCTGCTGGTACATTCCTCCCACCCCGCCTTTAAAACGTCTTCCTTTTCTGTCATTCCTTCAGGTGGTTTTCTTAACTTTCTGTTCTGTCCTCTGTGTTTATTGGGCAACAGGAAGCGAAGATAGAGCCAGAGGATTTTACCAGTAGGTTGTACCGTGAGCTCAACTCCTCACCGCAGCCGTACCTTGTGCCTTTCCTGAAGGTGAGACCACCACCGGCAGACACACATATTCTGGTAGAACAACACCGGTAACCGGTAGACAGAAAACGGCTCACACTCACAGGAAGCTTCAAGTCGTCTGTGAAGCTCAGCTGCAACGTGACCAGTGTTTGAACTGCTTTTTAGACCATCTGCAGCTTACTCTATGGTTACTATGGTGGGACTAATCAACTTGACTCCGTCCGCCTGCAGAGGAGCCTCCCAGCGCTGCGTCAGATGACCCCGGACTCTGAGTCCTTCATCCAGCAGAGCCTGCTGCCTCAGCCCGCTGCAGCGACCTCCACGGCCCTCACCGCCGTGGTGCTGCGACCTCCCGTCTCCACGGCCTCCAGCAGCCCCGCCGCCACCAAAACCACCGTCATCAGCCTCACGCAGACACCTCCCAGCAAACCCGCGCTGGTAATTTAAGCCCGACTGGGGCTTTTTCTCCCGTCTCTGCTGTGGTTCCGCTTCTCATTCTTCTGCCTCTGACTGTGCACAGCAACACGGGACGCTGGTGAGGCCGCAGGTGGCGCTGGCTCAGTCTCCCATGGGGACCCTCAGAGGTCAACCTCACAGCCGCATCGTTGTGAGCCACCCGCAGGTGGTCAAGCAGCAGCCGACAGGTGTGTGTGTGCGTGTGTTTGAGGGGCACCTGTGCTTCTTTTATTTCTCTTTGTCTTCTCTATAAAGTGAACTTAACAGGTAATTGGTTCCTTCTGAGTCGGTCTGTGTTTTTTAATCTGTTGCCCACTTTCCATTTACGGTATGGAAGTCCTGCCACCTTGTGGAGGGTTTTTCTAATTGCAGGATACTAAACTGAACAACAGCCAATTTGATTTGAAAAATAACATAATTTCTCTCATTGTGCATTTTTTCATGTAATCAGAATCTATTATTTTTTCAGGGCTAGTAATTAATAAAGACTTCTGTTTGTGTGCGTCCGTAACACATCCAGCAATGAAGCAGACGTTGGCTCAGGGGGCAAAAGGGCTGCAAGTGGTCAGTCAGGCCTCCCTCATTGCTGCGCAGAGGAACAAGCTGAAGGAAGCAGGAGGAGGAACCTTCAGGTCTGTGACGCGTTCAGAGAAACTGCATTCAGGCAGGGTCAGAGGTCCCTAGTTTCAATATCTTACATTCTCAAAGGCAGTTCAGAATCCGTAACATCTTTTCTATTACTCTGCGTTACCTTGGAAACACAGCAGCCGTTTGCCAAATAACTTTTTTTATTCATACAACGGCACACGTTTCAGCCTTTCATTGTTTGCAACAAAGGTTATTTGTATTTCTCTCCGTATTAATAAACCGTTGGGGGGTTTCGAACCATGGGTTAGATTAAACAAAAGATGGTGTGTGTGTGTGTGTGTGTGTGTGTGTGTGTGTGTGTGTGTGTGTGTGTAAAAAACGCCTGTTTTGAATGTGATGCAGGGATATAAGTCCCCATGGTCATTGTGCATTGTTCATGAGGGGGAAAGTCCTGCAGTAATCAAACAAAGAGGCAAAATGTAGTCAATTACATTGGAAACTAACATTACTAAACATTTAGCTCTCCATATGTTGCCACACACACACACACACACACGTGTTAAGAATGACACGGTCATGAATAAATCTCTCTGAGAACAGTTTCTCTTTGTAAGACGTCCTCTTGTTGACGTGTGCTGGCTTCCGTTCATCTTCTAGCTGATGATAAATTGATCACTACGCACACACATTTCATCTAATTAATGCGGTGATTAATCACCTCATAATCGTAACGTTTGTGGGTAATATTTCATGGTAGTTAGCGCTTTTCTGTCGACAGAAAGCGAACATTTATCCACATTTACAAAGAGCAAATCCTTAATGTGAGTTTGTCTGGCAGACAGCTGTCAAAAGTAATAAATGCAGATGTAGGCGGGATTCATTACAGGGCTACTGTATCGGATTGAGTTGGACCGTACGGGTTCAGGTAATCGTCCAATTAATGCCGTGAATCTCTTCACATAAGAAGCTGATTTAGAGCCCAACGCGTTTTGGTCTGTTGTTTTTCTTCTGTTTGGTGGAACAGCACGAAAGAAAAGAAGCCTCCTGTCTGATGGGCAACCACGTGGTGCCCGAGGAATCTGAAGCTAATCGTTATTGGTACTACCAGCGGCGGGACTTTTAAAATTAGTAGTTTCTTTGACGTGTGATAACTTTATTTAGTTTGAATGTTTCCCACACAAAAAGGTGTAAATTGTGTCACTGTGTTTTATCCAGGGATGATGACGATATCAATGACGTGGCCTCCATGGCCGGGGTCAACTTGTCGGAGGAGAGCGACCGTATCTTAGCAACCAACTCTGAGCTGGTCGGCGCGGTGACTCGATCCTGTAAAGACGAGGCCTTCCTGTCCACCGCTCTACTCGCCCGGAGAGCTCTGGAGATCGGTGAGACCCTTGACTCCCGGATTTAAAGAGACAAATGAACGTGTCCCCGCATGCGAGGTTCTAAATCCCTGTCCCCGCCCCTTCCGACGTGACAGGTAGGAAGTTCGGCGTCAGCGAGCTGGGCCCCGACGCCGCCAACTTCATTGCCCACGCCACGCAGCAGCGGCTACGCCACCTGCTGGAGAGGGTGTCTCTCGTGGCGCAGCACAGGAACGGGACCTTCAAGGTGATCATTGCTCTTCTCTCACTGACCTCATAGCCGGTGCGACACGTAGCCTCACACGGCGCCTTGCCCCCCCGTTCAGGAGGACGAGCGGTGCGAGCAGGCCAGCGACGTGCGGACCCAGCTGAGGTTCTTCGAACAGCTGGATCAGATGGAGAAGCAAAGGAAGGAGGAGAAGGAGAGAGAGATCCTCCTGAAGGCTGCCAAGGTGAGGATACTCGCACAACGTCACATGACGTCATCGGCCGCAGGGGGATGAGTGACGGCGACCTCGCCTCAGCGTCACTAGCATGTATTCCTCTGCCGATGGATGAATAAATCAGCACATTGAATGACTTGAACATAATCCACGGTTAAATATTAAAATGTCCTTCTCATCTCACGGCAGTCCCGGTCGCGGCAAGAAGACCCCGAGCAGCTCCGACTGAAGCAGAAGGCCAAAGAGGCAAGTACACGCCGGGCGGCGTCGCGTGAAATGACGGCCTCCGGGGGGCGCGCTGTGGACGCGCTTGCGTGCGTTGGACTGAGCCGCGTGTTGTTGCTCGTATTCCAGATGCAGCAGCAGGAGCTGGCTCAGATCCGACAGAGGGAGGCCAACCTGACGGCGCTGGCGGCCATCGGCCCGAGAAAAAAGCGGAAAATGGACTCTCCCGTCCGGGGCGCCAGCGCCGAGGTGAGCAACGCGGCACCGTTTGGCATCGGCAAAAGGCTTGTGTTTGTTGTGAGTCGTGTCCAACCTGTGGCTCCGCATTGCGCCCCCAGGGCTCGGGGCCGGGCCCCTGTCAGCCGGGAGGCTCCGGCGGTTCGGGCTCCAGGCAGTTCACGCGGCAGCGCATCACCAGGGTGAACCTCAGGGACCTGCTCTTCTGCCTGGAGAACGAGCGGGGGACCAGTCGCTCCCACCTGCTCTACCGAGGCTTCCTCAAATAGCGGCGTGAAGGAGGCGGAGTCAGCTCAGAGCCCTCCCGCCTTCTTGAGCCGCACGGACCGGGACGCGCCGACCGGCTGCAGTCGCGTCAGGTCCTCTCGAAACCTTCGCGGGACTTTGAAGGAGGCCTTCGGTGTTTCGCGGGGAAACGGAAAGCGGCGCTTCTGTGTTTTCCCGATGGGTTCTCGACCGCTCGCCACTCGTAGTTTTCACTGTGACGCCGTGGTCGACCTTTTTAATTGGGATTCTAGCGCATTCACTACAAAGACGCGGTTTTCATTCATCTCTTTCCTGGCGATAACATTTAAATTTGATTAAAAGAAAAGTTCCCTGCGCGGCGGCGGACAACTGATTCCACCGCACTTCACATCGCCTGCAGATGATCCAAAACGTCAGAAGAATGGCGAAAGATTCAAATAGTAAATTTTCTGTTTGATGAAATCCACCCAGAGAGCAGCGAACCTTTTTAAGAGGTGAACGTTGACGTAAACTTGCTCGCTCTGTTCTCTGCACGGCTGAATGGATGAAAAAGGTTGAAAGTCGGCTGTTAACAATGTAAAGCGTCCAGGCTGTGATGTGAATTTAATTACTTGAGTTTTGTGAAATGAATCCCGATAATGTTATTGATTTAGTCTTTTTAAGCCTGTAACACATTTTATGTGTTATGAGTTTTATGTCCACGTTTTTCTATTTATGAACAATGGAGGATGATCACTTTTCTAATGAACTTACCCACTCTAACTTTTTATATTCTTAGTGCACATACTAATATTGGTCTTAAAACCGTTGCTTATTTTATGAGAGAGTGTTTACTATCATATTTTGTTACTGTATATATTTAGTTTTCTTTTTGTAAGGTTATCAGTTGGCGACTTTAAATTGGGAGATTTGTCTTGTTTTCCAACCTGTAAAAAAACAAATAAGACAAATAGAGCATATTTGTTGCCAGTATCTTGTACATTTTGCACAGCCACTTGTTTATATGTAAATATCTGAATTTTAAAAAAAGTTTTGAATTGCTATTTTATAATGGACTGAAAGAGAAAGATCTCTATTAAAAAGACAAAGATAAAGAATATTTACATCTCGACTGTGTTTGTTATTGTGGAAGGTTTGTTCATGTTGTGAAGCTCAGACGTGTGTCACTTTTTCTTCAAACTGAGAATAAAAATAGAATAGAATGAGAAAGTGTTTATACAGACGCATGTAGAACAACGGATTCATCCTTTTTCAGCTGAACACTTTTAAGAAAGCGGGCGTCAAAAAAACAATTTTGAACCTGCTTTGTTTTTATTTCATTCTAATTCATTCAGGGGATGTTCATGCATTCATCTCAATCACACTACTCATTTATTCAGATTTTTGGAAATATTCCCTATTTTCTTCCCCCCTCTTTTTTGTGCAATATGACTTTATCCAGAGATTAGAATTGACGGGATGCTTGTGATGTATTTCGATCCCGTCCTCACTGAAACGTAGACCTCCGTGCTGGTCGGGCCTAAATCACCGTGTCCTTTAGTCTTATGTTCACAAAAATGGCTTCAACCTGTTCAACCAGGGAATAAAAGGTCATATTTCTGGGTCTGGGGATCGAGTGAAAGAAGCTGTTCTGCATAAATGATTCACCTGGTCTTTCATTTTATGGATATGGAATATTTTAAAGTGATGCACTGCCCAGTTTGAGCTCCTTGGTGACCCTTTGACCTCGCTGCAGAGATACAGTGCTTCGCACGTGGACCCAAAGGCCGCTTCCTTCCTCAAATATCATGCGGACAGGCTTCTCCCGCTGGGAAAAGCACCTAGCGGCGTATTTTTTAAAACATTATTTACTCCTACTAGTGCCGTCCCTTAAAGGGTAAAAGCAATCGTAAAGTCCCATTAGGATGTGCCAGCTGGGCTCCAAAGAGGACGTTATTGCTCCTGAAAGACCGCCGGTCACCGGGGCAACCGTCTCCACCTCACAGCTCGCCCTCCTTAACGGTCTGGTTGCTTCTAGTGAGGCTACACAGCAGCCTGCAAAGTGCTGACTTAAAAACAAAAAACATACATAAACACACACGCTGTGTTGTACCTCCTTTTTGACTCGAGTAGAATAGTATTTCTACTGAAATATGAAGATTTTCAAGGTAATTTGGAGTATTTCCATTGTGTTCCACTGTATAAAAGTCATCTGATGTGTTGCTCCACCACAATCATTTCATACCTGAATAATAAACTGTATTTCAAGAAGCGTCTGTGATCGTCGGCACGGCGGGCGGAGAGTCTCCACAGGAGGGCGCTGTCGCCCCAGCATGGACCCCAACGCGCGTCACCTGTCACCTGGCGTCTTTCATCAGCACGCGGTAGAGCCGGCAAAGCACCAGCGCGTCTGAGGAGATCAGCTCCTCTGTGCTTTGCATTGTCTTCGGTTTAAGATGTGTTTTCAGAGGATCTGATGCGAACCCCCTGCACGCGCAGATGGACGTCCTCCGCCGGGGATCGAACCGGCGTCTCGTATTCCTCCAGATTTGTGGGATTTGAGGCTTAGGAAGTTGTCTGTCCCGCTCCCCCCCCTTTGCAGGCAAGGTATCCCGAAGCCTGCGGTCCAAACCGTTGTCTTCGCTGTCTTCGATATCCAAGCACAGGAAGTCTTCTAAGTCTCCTCCGATATGAGCCGTCAGGCTATATTTACTTACGTTACTCTGGGACACCGAACTCAATTCCACTGCCTTGTTTGATTTTGCATAATGAGATGCTGCTGGCTGCTCACCGGATAATGTCCCTGAGTGACAGCTATGAAGATGAGTGAATACATTTCACACATGTTGCAAGAGAGACTTCACTGAGTCCCGATATCCCTCGCAGAGGCTTGCAAGGCCTTTGAATATTCATTCATTATTCAATTTAGGAAAGACTGCACATTAAAACATTGTTGTTTGTTCAGCCTGCCGCTATGAACTGATAACCAGCCAAATCAGATGGATTAGACCTGTTTACGGTTTGAAAATATCCGCCCGTATTTCAACCGGCCAAAAAATGTGTTTCTTTTAAGGAGCTGCAGAAGCAAGAGAAGGAAACACGTTTACGATCAATGAAATGAAATGACGGCATCTCATTAAAAGTCACCAGGTGGTCAACGTCTGCGACCATCCATCCGTTTGTTGAGATGTTTGACTTAAAGCCTCTGTCATATGATCCCCGTGAAAACATCCTCTGGGGACCATGAACGTCAAAGCTGAGGATGGAGAATTTCCATCCTCAGAGATTGAAGATGATGATTAGATTTGTCTTTTAGCGAAGCCTTCGCCATCATCGTCGCGGTTTGGAAGCGATGGCGTTTTCGTGCCTTCCCTCGGCTTTGTTTTAACAGAACTTAATCTTAAATAAGAGGAGACCTCGTTAGCAGCTCTTAAACTGCTGCTTGTGGACAAATGTCCCCAACGGTTCAGATAAAAATGGCCTCACGACTCCGCTTGAGTTAAAAAAAACAAAACATTTCGGCTTCAGCGTTTGCTTTTTTTCCTTTCTGACATTTCAGCGTCGGAGGATTTCAGGGGGCGGAAGAGGTTCTGCCTTCACATCCGTCAGCCGCCCTGTTTGTGAGCTCTGCTCTGAGGGAGCTGAGGCCGCTACGAGCATGTGGACGGAGCTCCAGCTGTGGAACAGAAAGGTTTAAAAGGGCCGTAAATACGATAAATACAATCCGATGCTTTAGAATTAGAAGTCGATGGCTCACCAGGTGACAAAGTTCTTATACTGTAAAGTTTCACTGTTTTCGTCCCAGCAGCATCCAATCTAAAATTGGTTTCGCACGTTGCTAAATTGAAAATGAAAAGATGGATGTCGAGATTAGATTTTATCTCACTGGATCGGAAATGGCTGTTTTATTTCCGAGTGAACAAATCGGAACGAAAAAAAAAGGCCGTCTTGACATTCTGTAGCTGTCAGACACGAAAGGTTCGCTTTAGGATTAATATTAGAAACATTTAAGCTCTTAAATACTACCTTTCCCCCAGCCGTGCGTGTTTAAAGCAAACTCTGGAAAACAAGTTTATTTAAAAGTTTTCCTGCCGAAAGAAAACAGAGAAAGACAAAAAGTTCAAATGAACAGAAATCCCAATAATTAAATCTAGCAAACCTTGTAAAGCTCTAAATGATCTGCAACATGTTGCCATAAGTCATCGTTTACTGCATTGATTCTCCGTCTCCAGCTTTTCGTTGGTTTATTTTCAGCACATGCTTGGTTGGAAACAGCTGTTTTTTCCCCCACAGGTGATCGACTGGTTGGAATGGTTTTACTGGCCCCTAATTACTGGAAAAAATGCAATTTTTCTTTTTTTTTTTTCCGAAAAGGCCGAGGCGAGCTCGTGCTGCAGAGGGATCCTCGTGGCAATAAATCAATCCCCGGCTCCACGACCTTTCAACGCTAACGGTAACGTTGCGATTGCGAGTGATCGCCATGGTCCCATGATGCATTTCTCTCCACCGGAGGCGGGGCCTGTTTCTCCGGTGTTTTCTCGAACGTTCCCGCGCTGCCGTGGCGGCGGTCGCCCACCAGGACCGCTGCTGTCACGTCAAGGAGGCCAATGATCACTCACGGACGTTTCTGTTTTCAGCCCCTGGCGATGACCGCGTCCTCCGTTGATCGAAGCCCCTCCCACCTGCATCGTCACATAAGCGTTCCCGCTTTTTCGTACTGTATTTTTCAACATGCATGTTTTTTTTCGGGTGATGGATTCCCACTACGGGGCTCTTTTTGAAAGCGGAGGGACAGGAGAGAGGAGGCCCCTCGGGGGGGGGGGGGGGGGCGCGAAAACAACCGCCGCCGGCCTCCTCTGCGCATGATTGAACAAATTAGCGATGAACAGCTGTTACCTGTTAAAATGACCCGCTTTCGTTTTATCGCCGTGGACAAGAGGTCTGAAAGCATCTGCATGCCACAGCTGTCGGCCGTTCTGATTATCTCGCTCTCCCGTTCCCGCTTTCAATATATCACGACAGATGTAATTACCTCAACATCTCTTTTTATGGATTCTACAAACCGCCGGGCGCACACGGCATGCTAAGTGTCCATGAATTACAGGTGCAGTCGACCGGTGTCCGGTCCGCTCGGCTGCCCGGAGTTTGTCCGAGCACTTTCTTTTAAAGTGGAAAAAAAGATTTAAACCCTGGTTGATTAAGACTTTCCATTTAAGGGGTTGAAAAAAGAAAAGTAATACAGCAGTAAAAGTACTGCAGGTGCATCAGCATTGCGATACGTCCATAAGCGACTCTATAGGCCGAACCTCGTCGCTCGTGTTGCCTCAATAAACAACGACTTAGCAGAGGTTTATTTTAAAATCATTTAGTCAAGATTGCCGTTTTGGGAGAAAGGTCTTTTCTGGAAGTTTCCCTTTTTCTTTTCTGTTTCTAGACTAGCGAGTGTAATTATTATCGCCGGGTTTCCATTGTTGGTTCAACCTCCTCCAGCCACGGCGAGGCCGCCGGCAACGCGAGCCGTGACATCGCTTCTCGCGCTAATCAAGCCGAGTGAGAAACCCGGGGCAATAATGGCCGTTTAAAAAGTTGAAGCATTCTTCGGGGGACGCTAAGTGGCTATAAAAGTATAGCTGTACAGGTTAATTGCCTTAAAGTAGCGAGCGCAACTGACCTGATGAGGAATTTTTTAACCCCAGTGTCCCCTGAAGGTGGAAATCTCACACTGAAGGAATAATGAACGAGCGGAAACAAAAGAGCCTTCCAGTCGTCTGTCGAGGGCGTAGATTTAAAATAGTTGATATTCAAAGCGTTATGCAGCACGTGTAATCTCGCAGGGGAGAGAATAACAAGACTTTGAGCTGCATTCATTAGTATCATCATTCATCGGTAAGTCATCGACGTGTCAACGCGTAACGTGGAAACTACCACGACACTCCTCCTCCGGAGTGAAGCCTTCGCCTCGGAAAGCTGTAAAGAAAAGCAGGTAGTGAGTCGACGCTGCGCTTTTATTCACAAAGCTTTGAGCTTTGACGTTCACTCACACACACACACACACTCACACACACACACACACACACACACACACACACACACACACACACACATGAACGTTTTTGTGAC